TAGGCGTGGTACGTTGGTTAACGTAAGTACCTAACGTACCTACGCCTTCGTACTGTTGGGCCGTCGCCTCGTTGGGCGGTATCCTCGTCGACTCCACTTCCTACCACACACACACACACACACACACACACACACACACACACACACCCCTTTAGGCATTGTTAAAACTGTAATGATTGTTTTCTCTGCTGTCGCCTCCTCTTGGTAACACGACCCACTGCCCCCACCACAGAATTAGGCATGTGACCTGGGTCTGGCTGCGACCAAAGGCCAACCAAAACTTTCTCTGAGATGGATATACTGATGTTGAGAGAGAGAAGCCCTCTCTCCAAACCTGAGCTTGGGCACCAAATGGTAACCTTCCCTACCACGTGGCAGAGCCTGTCTGCAGAAGTCAGGCAATGACATGGAGAAAAATAGGACATTGGATCCTGTCCCAAGGTCCCCACTTTTGCTGCAATGCCCCTCCCAACTGTGTGAGCTAGAAATTTCCTTTTTGATTTAAGCTAGTGGGGGGAGAGAGAGTATAGCTCAGTGGTAGAGTGTGTGTTTAACATGCATGAGGTCCTGGGTTCAATCCCCAATACCTCCATTTAAACAACCTAATTACCTCCCCTCAAAAAAATTAAAAAAAAAAAAAGCTAGTGGAGATTTGGCCTCTGATATTTGTAAAGAAGATTTCTTGTGTCCTTGAAGTTTGAGGACATCAAGGGAAGGGATTCGGCAGAAGCACAGAGCAGTGAGTGGTAGAACCAGAATTCTGCACACCTGCTGAAGGACTCTCTTTCCCCACCTTCACTTGCAGCCTCCAAGGACCCTTGAATCAGGGGTCATAGGAAACAGCCCTTCTCCACTGGGACAGGGCTCAGCAAACTCACTGCCTTCCCAGAGCAACACTCCCAGCATCCTCCTCATGTGTCAAGGATGTGAGAGGAGCCAGCTGGCTGTCTAACCCCTATCTACCTACGGTGGCCTGCTCAGCAGAGAGGAGGTCCTCACCCCTGCCCACACCATTCTGAGTGCCTATGATTCTACTGCCCTTGTGGCTTCAGTGACCATTTATGGGGATACTGAGGTCAGTTTAGAAGTGTTTTAGACCTAAATTCTCGCAGATGTTTCTTTACTTTGCAATTCTGGTTAAGGAGAGAGGGGGAGTTGGGAGCCAAAGGACTTCAGGAAAGTGGTTTCCACATCTGGTCTCCAGACACCTATGGACCACGATGACGATGTCACCAGTCGGTGACGAAAAAGGAGAAAAACCACAGCCTGAGACGTGAGCTCTTCCTGAAGCAAAATTACTCCACTTACTGGACCATCCTTTAAGGAGAAATCAAGTTCCTCCTTTTTTGGTATTAGGTTATACTTTCTTTAGCTACATCTTTTTTCTGTTTTTTTTTCTTTCTGGGTGGGGGGAGGTA